GTGCCTAAATCTGGGCTGCAGGAAGGCACATATCTGAGACAGCAGTGGGGCTTAGCAAACAACCTCTCATCGACATCTGCTCAGCATTACAATGCCTAAGTCCCTTTGTGTATCCCTGCCACCCTAGAGCCCTAAAAGATCGAGACCTTCTGTAAACAAGGCCCTACCCTTTCCTTTCTGTATGATAAAGAAAGGCAAAAAATTCTGCTTCTCCATTCTTAGAAAAGTTTTGTTAGGGTTAGAAAATTACTCCAGACAGAAGCTGTGGGAGGAGGAGTAGGATTATAAAGTATGGATTATAGGGTATAGGACTTTAGGTCTATGGATCATTAGGTTCATTGTTTTTCACCTGCTTCAGGTTTTTGTCATTCTTAAAAGGCACTGTTATCTAAGGCCTGGTCTACACTAACCCCCCAAATCGAACTAAGATACGCAACTTCAGCTAAGTGAATAACGTAGCTGAAGTCGACGTATCTTAGTTCGAATTTACTGCGGTCCAGACGCAGCAGGCAGGCTCCCCTGTCGATGCCGCGTACTCCTCTCGCCGAGCTGGAGTATCGGCGTCGACGGCGAGCACTTCCGGGATCGATTTATCGTGTCTAGACAAGACGCGATAAATCGATCCCAGAAGATCGATTGCTTACCGCCAAACCAGCGGCTAAGTGTAGACATACCCTTAGTAAGAAATCCATCTTAACATAATATTCTAATATATATACTTAAAAAAAAATCTTAATAATTGATAGCTAAAATAAAGCCAAACATATGACAAATAACTAAATTCAGATCAAATGGGTTCATATCTAATCATCAGGTTAAAATCAAATGAATGAATTATCCTCATACGATTTCTATCTAACAATCCAGGGAGACAACAGTTGGGGGTTTATCCTTAAGTCCCTAAATCACAGAGTATCTTCAGTGCCAGTTAATCTAAACCTATACTTCAGCCAAATGGCAAGGATAGGAGGTCCAAATTACTACCAAGTTAAATTAGCTGACATTTCAGTTATGATCATAATGCCAATTGTATGGTGGCCCTGCCAGACTTTACTTACATAGTAACAGTCCTTCCTCTGCTACCAAGATATAATTACAAGAAAAGAAGAAGAGATCACACATGACATCATGGACAGCAGTTTCTATGTAGTTTAAGGCTGTTGCACCTGGGAGATTAGTTTAATGTACTGTTCTTGTTTGAATTACATAGAATTCAATTACTTATTGTCTACACACACACACACAAATGCTCACTCACTCTCTCAACCAGCAGACATATAGTTCATCTGATAAAAAGAGAGAAAAGAAACAAAAAAAGAAAAGGTTGATATTTAACTTTAAACTTCTCAGATCTTACAGTTTCTCAAGCCTTCAGGGTGGTTATTTGAAGCAGCTGGAAAAACAGTTGGTGATGTTTTGTTTCTAGTGACTCAGCTTAGCTGATTAGCGTTAACGGACCCATAGGCTAGTGGAATAGGAAGTTATGTATGCTTGACTGTGACAAGTCTAAATGTTGCTGGTATGACCAAGGTCCTTACCCTTCAATGGCCAGCTGTTGAAGGGAAACTTTGGCCTTCTGACTTGTACTGTGACACTGCATGGCCAAGACGAAAGATTCCACCTTTGATAACACCTCTTATGGGTTATAATTAGATCTGGGCAAAAAATTTTAGACCAATAATTTATTTGCCAAAAAATGCAGATTTGGTTGACTCAGAAGTATCCATGAATCAGATATAAAGTCAGCAAATAGTGTGGGCTGGGAGGGGAGGGTAAGATTCACAAACTGGCCAGAAGGGGTGGTGAAGGTTCCGGTGCCCAGTTTATAGCCTTTAGCCCAGTTCATAGGGCCCTCACCTAATACAGTGGAGACCCAGCTTAGAATCCCTACTCTGGAGCAGAGATTTCAACCTAGTTCTCCTTCTTCCCAGATAAGCATCCCAGCCACTAAGATACTGGCTACTCTGGAGTGGGTTTCTCTCCATCTCTCTTGATGAAGCTGTTCCACTTTGCATAAAATACTTGAATGTTCATTGGGCCTGAGAAAGAACATGAGATTGACTCTGTAGCCTGGTAGATATGACTCTCACCTGGGAAAGGGGAGACCCAAGTTCAAGTATCTACTCCCATGAATATTTATGTGTACAATGTTAAACAGCTTTGACAGCAAATGTTGAGAGTCCCTGCTCCCCCCAGCCTTGTGGTAAGGATGCTTACCTGGGATGTGAAAATTTGAATCCCCACTCCAACACAGGAGAATTGAACCAGGGTCTCCCACATCACAGGTGAGTGCCCTAACCAGAGGGCTTAATGATATTACCACCCTACCTTTTCTTCCCTGTCCCACTTTTTGTGCCCTTTTTTTAAAAAAAAAGACCCCAAACAAAATGTTTTACTGCAAACATGTGTTGTTCTGTCCAGAACTAACTATTTTGATTGGCTAAAGGATTTTAGTATTCAGTTCAACTCAATTTTTTTTATCATTATTATTATTTTGGAAATGCCAGTGAACCAAAAAAGAAAGAGAATCAGTTTTTTGCCCAGCTCTAATTATAACCAGGTTTTGCCTCCCCCCGATAACTCTTCCTGGAGTCCCTCAGGGGATCAGAACACCCGCTGGAGCCACTTGATATTGACCAGTTAAATTTGATTTAGTAACCTTTATAAAAATGATGATTTTCCCCCAAATTTGCTAATGCTCCTAAGAGTCCAGAAAACCCAGCTAGCCTAGTTGATAATATTGGGCATCACTGGCACTGACAACTCTGCTCTTCTTCAAAAAATACCACATGCCAGAGGTGACTTCTATGTTCCAGATTTTGAATTCCAAAAACTGTTGCCTCAACCAATAGTTCAGAATCTATGTTCCAGTAACTTTCACTTAGAATGCAGAGGAAAGTCTCAGACAGCACTGAGTCCCATAGGGAAGCCCTAGGAGGCAGCTGTAACTTAGGCAATCTGGGGCCTAAATTACACCAGGAGCCTTCTCTCCAGGCCTAAGGTAATTTAAAGCCACCTTATACCCCACCTACCTCTTTTCTCCTAGGCTGCGAGGTCTGTTCTGCCCCTCTCAGAGGCACAATACAGAATCTTACCCTTAGACTTACTATTCACCATTTTTTAATAAGGCCTATATATGCCCAATAGTTATCACCCTGAATTAATGACCACTGTACTTCAGATGACCTTTGCCTGACAAGCAAATATCATTACTCCCCCCCCCCATTTGAGGCATGATCCAAAGCCCACAGAAATAAAAGGGTCCTTCTATTAAGTCTAGTAGAGTTTGGATAAGGTCCTTGGTTCCCTGTCATTGCTGCATTTTGCTATACCTGATCAATGACTTCCATTTATTAAGATTCTTATTTATATCAAGTTTTGACAGCAAATAAAAAACCCCACGAATATCTAGAAGCTATAAATGAATAACTGTTTGGAGGTATGTGGTGTGACATAAACATTATGAAATAAGATAAAACTACCAAAAGAAAATCAATCAAAGTCCTATTGAGGAATAAAATCCCAGAAACCCAGTTCTGAGACCAGAATGAGTAAACATTTTTGTCTTTGGAATAGGAGTTAGGCTTGCTGGATGCTAAACCATGAAAGCCTGTGCAGTCTTTATGACTGGCATAATTGAGCATCCTAATTGCTGCTGAACAGAGCCATGCAATTATTTCCTACAGTTCTCAACATTAATTTGTTATATCCTATATGCCCAGAAAATAATATTTCTTGAGAATTTTGTAAACACTGTTTTACCCAATTATTGACAGCTAACTGAAAAAAATATGTGCTGTATTCCTCTCCAGTTGAAATTCAGAGACCCATTAATGCAAAGGCCTCATCCCACCTTGATGAATTCACTTCAGAATTTTGTCAAAATGGGACAACTTTTCACTAACTGAAACAAAAATGGTCAGAACACTGCTCATTTTTTTTTTTAAATTTAGTTGAGACGATGTGATTTCCTCCTCTACTTTTTCCCTTTTAACTTTCTGATGTCTATTTGGCTTTCTAGAGGCAGCATTTCTTTTTTATAACTGAAGAGAAGTGATGTTTCTAGTGGAACTAGGGATACTGCCTGGCCGGTATTTGACTGGCCTGGTCAGCTTTTTTATGGATTTGCCAGTGGACAGAAAAATAATTTAATCTGCCGGGTTTTTTTTAAGCGAATCTAAAGATTTGCAATATTCTCACAATACACAGGGATATCTAATATTAAAAGTTTCTGTGTCCAGTTAAAGATGCTGCAATGTTCAGACTTCCACAGTTTAAGTAATAATAGATCAAAACTGTTGAAAATACAGAAGCTGTCTGCCCACCAACACACAAGTGCACCACGCATGTGTGAGAGAGGGTTTGAGTCACGCTAGAGTGAGGAGACATGCAAGGCATATTAAATCATGGAAGATTAGGGCAACAGTGCGAGTGATCCTACTACACCCCTGAAAAAAAAAGCTCACATCAGAAACTGCCCATTCAATGACAACAGGCTAAAACGAAAGAGCCTGCAAAGACTGGCTGGCAAAATTTGCTGATGAAACAAAGTTTGTTATCAATGATGTCATCAATCTTATCTATACATGTTATCCCTCTGGATACTATAAGTGGGCTGTTGTGGGGAGGAAGGGGGAGGTTTGCAGAGTTGCTTTGTAGTTGGGGGTTAGGGTTACAGCAGGCTTGTTTTCTTTTTGCTTTTTTTTTTTTTTTTTTGCATTTCAAAGGTGATAACCCTAAGTGGGACTCAGTTTCTTTCTATGTTTCTACCTGTATTTTCCAAAGTATCTTCTGTTTCTCCTCTTTCTCCCCTGTGGACTCTGCTGTCTGTTTCCCCACACCTCTTACCATTCCCCCTTTTTACTGCCACCCCTTGCCCATGCTTCCCTATCTGGCGCTAGTTCTTTTGTTCTCCTCCTTCTCTTACTTCATATCATTCTCCTCCTTATATGTTACTTACACACACACACACACACACAGATTTGATGAAAAAGACTCACCGGTGGCTATTGGCAGTCTCCTGTTTTCGAACAGAACAGATGCAGCCAAAATTAAGCAAGCTGAAAAACAGTCATTATATAGTCTTTCAGCACAAATATCAGTTTTATCCTTACATTTCCCATTTTAAAGCTATAAAACAAACAAAAATGCCACTAACAGCCGTGTGGATATTTCTCTTTTGCCCTTTATACATAGTTTACTAACTGAAAAAAAAATCTCAAAGGAAATATTAACAAACCATCCTATCAAACTTACAGGGAAAGGACCTTTAGGTTTAATTATAAGAACTATAATTTGATTATTTTTAGATCAATTTTATACTATTTTTATAGTTCTATTCTCTGCCTATATAATTGTATCACCATATCTTCATTATTCAACTGTCCCCCAATATTTTCCTAAAGTGTTCAGAGCTGATTACTCACGGTACTTGCCGCCTAACACGGTTTTGCCACAAGGCATAACATGAATCTTTACTTAAAGCTGAATTACCCTAACCTCTTAACAGAGGTTATCACATGAAGAACATTTGTTCCACTTTCTGCCCTCCAATAGCAGCTCACCAGGTAGCCAGAGGTAGTTTAACCCATAGAACTTTGATGTTTTCCAGGCTGCTGGCCAAATAAATGTTTAAGAAAGTCATATGCATGTAATATAAATCTGTAGTCTCAAGGGTTAAAAGACACCAGCTGAATGCACCAATAGCATTACTAGACATGGGAAAGGACTAACGAACTACAGAACTGCAGCCTTGCAAAAAACAAAGTTAAGTACAAGGGTCTGATCTTGCAACTCTTGATCATGTTAGTAATTCTTATTCGTATGAGTACAGTTTGCAAGATCAGTCCCTAAAAATGCAAGCCAAAGCAATTTGCTTTCTAAACTTACATCATCCTAACAGGGTTTTCAAAATACTGCATTAAATTCAAGTAAGTTACAGAACTATAAGTAACCAAAAAAATTCTAAATATAATATTCACAGCATGACTGCTACAATATAAAGACAAACATTCAGGAAACATATAATTATATAATTAAATAAGTTACACAGTACAGTGTCACATCTGCAGCAACAGAATGTGACAGACTGGAATTACAATAAGCTCAGTTACTTAAAGTAACTTAGGCACATATTGACCTTAACATCAAAAACTGACACAGTATTAAAAGTAATTTCACACAAAGCTCATCTTTCTACTCCATAGTAAAACCACATTACCCTGCAGCTAGCAGCCATTTCAGACAAAGAATAAGGAAGTTCTTAAGCACTCAAACAGCGTTATGATAAGAACAGCTTTTTCCACAGACCTGTGTTTTCTATGTAAAGACTGAACAGCACTATCTCTGAACACGTGACCAGCTGCAGTTAACCAGAAGTCAGATACATGAAACTTATTCCTCTGACCACAGCAAAATTAAATGCGACACTAATTTAAAAAAAAAACTATAAGCAATTTAACTTTCTCTCATGTAGAGATACATTAATGGATCTTTGCTATCAAATTAGGGTGTGTTTACATTTGGCGCTGGGAATAGAGTGTAGCCATAGCCAGGCACCAGCAAACCAAGCACGTGCTTGGGGCAGCACAATTCCAGGGGCAGCACTTGCTTCGGCAGTTGCGCTCTTCAAGTGGTTTTTTGTTTTCGTTTTTTGCTTTGGTAGTTGCGCTCTCGGAGGTTTTTGTTTTTTTTTTGCTTGGGGTGGCAAAAAACCTAGAGCCGGCCCTGGCCACAGCCATAGCTAAAAATAGAATGTAGCTTCGGTGGTGCAAGTGGCTAGTGACCTTGAGGTACATGTCTATTAGCTTGGGCCTTTGCTGTCACTCTAGCCACCTTGGCTACACTCTGTTTTTAGCATACTAGCTAGGTCACAGCTAATGTGGGTATATCTCCTTCAGCTAGGATTTACATCCCCAGATCTGAATGTAGACATACTTGTAGTGAATATCATATTAAACCAAATTCTCTTGCCAGACCTGAGGAGAAGGGGATAGACATTTGACTAGACATAAGACTCAATTATGCAACCCTTGCTCATACTGAGTAGCACTTATTCACTTGAGTGGTGCCACTGAAATAATTATTTTAACTGGCTGTTAGAAAGGGGATAGAAGTTAGAAAGTGCAGCTGGACAAGTCAAATTAAAAAAAAAAAACTGGGAGCTGGGTGAGTGAAAAAGATGAATAAATATAGGTAGCCTACAGCCAAGAGTCAGCAGCATTAGTAAGGATGGTGGCAGATGGATGAGCAGTAGGAAGTGCAATTTACATAATATGGATATCTAATAGGGCATATATTTGAATTTCTGTGTTTGTCAAAATTCAGCCACTTTGTGGTAGACAAAAATGAAAAGCATTAGCAATTGTCTGTCTATTCAGATTCTGACGTGTCAGCTAGAAGGGGCCCTGGGTTGGCCTATGTGAATTAAGACATATGTACGACCATCCATCTCACTCACCATCTGCGTCTTGGTTCTCTGTGTGGTGTTTAGCAATCACTCAGAGACAAGCTGCTGGACAGAGATATGCTTCATTCAATGTCTCAGCTTCAATTGCTTCTGTGTTAAATATCTTAAAAGGTACAGTCCCCACAACTTCCTTTCCCAGCCAAATTTAACAACCATGAACAATCAACATTTATATAAATACAGAACTTCAAATATTTACAGCCAGTCTACTAATTACATTTACTAATGGTATTCTATGAGGTACCTTGTACTGTCTCTTTATATCTCCCTTGAGATATCAATAGAATGTTGTCAGGAGGCAGTAAGTCAATTTTTTCTGATGGTTCCATGTCCTAGGACTCATCTGTCTTAACCTGTTGTGGTTGGTCCCTTTCTGAGATCTATTCAGGCAAAAGTGAAAGCTCAGTGCTTCTTATTCTCCCTCCCTTCTGGAAGCTGGAGAAGGTGGTGCCTGTTACTTTTCAGTATGTGTCTGTGTGGGGCAACAGCGTTATAAGGCCACAGGGCAACTTCTTGGAACACCACTGATGTTTGTGCCATTGATTTCCATCACAGATGGAAACGGTCTCATTTTCTTCAGATGGTTACTGCTATTGGGACCCCCAATCAGACTGGAGTTTATTTTTGGTTTTATCTGGTATTTATACTTCTGAAAATCCCAGTTCTTCAGACATCAGTTTCCAACATTACAGGCATTCTTGTGCTGTTTTCTGTTAAATAAAGCAGCAAGGGACAACCCACACATTACCGGTGCCATCATGTAATTTAAAAGTGCTAAATGTGAATCAGTGTCTGATATGTAGCCTTTTGCAGTAAATGGTTTATTATTTTGACAGTTTTTCACCAACCTGTTGGATTGGGGATAAGGAGGTCTAGAGATTACATATATAAACCCAAACTTCACTGCCAAATGCTAGAAGTTATATTCACTAAACCGTGACCCATTGTCAGACATTGCTATGTCATGACTAGCAAAAATAGATTTGATATGCAGAATCACCTATTTAGTTGTACTATCTTCTAGAAAAGATGTATCAGGGAAGAAAGAATAATAGTCTAGAATATGTACATATTTTTTCCAGTCTACATAAAAAAATATATTATTTTATTATTCCAGAGGACCCATTTTTCCTGTCCCACCGACATGGACTCTTCTGTTTGATTTGGCCTGTGTTTTTGGGGCAAACCTTGACAATTTCCTCAATGTCATTGTTCATTTGAGGCTACCATACAATGTCTCCAGCCTTTCTCTTACATTTTTTCAAATCCCTAAATGACCCTCATGTATCTTTTAACATATTTTTCTCTAACACCTTAGGGAACATCATCCTGCTGTCTTTAAATAGAATCCCATCTAATACTAAGGGCTCCCTCTTGAATTGGCGGGAGGGGCTGGGAACTTGGCAATCCTAAAAAGTTGAAATTAGAAAAAAAAATCATTTTCAGTTTCACCCAGAATGAAAGTAAGTTTTCAGCAATCGGAAAATTTGTGAACATTTTCAGTCAGGTTGAAGCAAAACATTTGGGTTGGGTCAAAACAAAAATTTTCATGTTGATTTTGGGCATTGACAAAAGCAAAGGAGGACTAGATTGACAACATGTGGAATGGGGAGAGGCAAAAGAGAAGGTAGCAGCTTTCCTATATTCTTTAGTCCAGTGGTTAGGTTAGGTTAGGTTATTCCTTCAATGTGGCTGGAGAACCAAGGTCAATTCCTCCCTCTGCCTGAGATGGAGAAATAATTCGACCTTGCATCTCCTATATTACAGGAGAGTGTCATAGGCTGTGAGATAAGTCTGGTGTGGATCTTTCTCTGTCTCTTCTGTTGAAGCTGTTCCACTTTTTTTGTAAATAAGTAGAGACTTGAGTCTTCTACATCCATCTACATTCTGACTCTCTTTCCCTGGCCCAATTATTATCCATTGTCATTCATACTAGCAATGCATAGTCATTTGGTCAGAGAAACATCTGCACTGTCAGAGCACAGTCCACCTTCCATAAGCTTCATTTTGGATTGGGTGATTTCCATTGCTTAGCAAATTCTAAATGCTTTGTAAAGGGCTTCCAGTAGTCTCTCTCTCAGATGTGTGGCCCAGATTCCAATCACAATCTGGTTTCTCATTAGGGACTCAGTCCTTCATAATTGCAAGAGTGTGACTGAAGAACCAAACTCTCCAGTAATTTCACCTTCTTTTTGTGCCCTCTGATTAAAAACATAACTTTCACAGGTTTCATTTTTATATGGAGGGAAGTATTCAAATTTCTGTACTACCATTTCATAGTTAGACTTCTGTGCCTGAGTTAACTCAAAACTAGTAACAAGTGTTTCAGAACCAGCCAGTATCAAAAATAATGCTACCTTCTGACTGTCTTCTTTTTTACTGGCACTCATTGCTGGCAGATAGAGAATGAATCACTGTTTGAACTTCCACCAGTTGCCTTCCACATTTCCAAAGAGCATCAGCTCCGGTGGAGATTTTAACTTCTCTGTTCTTCTACTCAGGCTATTTTCTTAATTTCTCTTTCATGCTGGTACCTTGGGGCATTCAGTAATCAGACACAAAGTGCTTGACAAATCTGCTTCATTCAGTGTCTCAGTTCCAAAAGCCTCTGAGTTACATAACATTAACTTCTTAAAGTTACAGTTCTCCACACTCCACATATCCAGGAAAACCCTTGTTTAGAGCTTATCTAGTTCTTGTTAATGTGAGAGCAGGCTCACGCTCCAAATGGTGGGAGGGAGGTCTTGTTGTATGGGAAGAGAGGAGAGCACCTCTGCTGGTGCTGAGGAGTCCATTCATCCATTAATATGAACAGGATGAGGCTGGCTCAGGCCATTGAAAGCCCAGCATTAGGAAGCCAATGCAAGCAATGCTGGAGGGAACTGCGCTGGATATGTTATGGAGATCAACCCCCCATAAGAGCAACCAGAGGAGGAAACTGGGTCAACTAAAGCTCACTGTTAAGAAATGAGATGTTGGAGTGGAGGTGTTTGAGGAGAAACATGGTCATGTTTAGGTACATATTTAGATGATTAAGTGGTTGGGTACAGGGCTATGTATGACCATATAGGTAGGCTAGGACTAAGGATGATGCAGAACAAGAACATCTCTGAATAGCAGACTTCCAGGATCATTTTTAGGATCATGGGGTGCTCAGCACTGCTACACCAGGCACTGTGACCCAAGGCCAGTGGTGTGCTATGACTGCTGCTTGTTAATACCATTCAGAATTGCCTTCCTCTACCCTTCTGTTTGTTTTTCCCATCTGTCATTTCCTCATATTTAGACTCTAAGGTGTTTGGGGCAGATGAAGTCTTTTCATTATGTGTGCACTGCACCTAGATCAATGGGAACCTTGTTTCCTTATAGGGGCTTCCAGGTCATACTGCAATACAGCCAACCGACCAACTTCAGTGGGACCAACCAACCACATTGCCACCGGGGTCTGTCGGCATTACAAGTGGGGGCTCATCCGGGATTTCAACTGGGAAGTCTCTGAAGCTCAGAACGCGCTTCCTCAGCTAGGGGAAGTATGTAACCCACACACCTTCTGGGTGTGATGTTCTGGCCCATTGAGTGGCACCGAGATCAGTTAAAGAGAGAGAGAGATAAAATGAGTCTGCTCTACAGCCTTAGCTAACAGCCAACTGGCTGTTAACTCATGCAATAGAGGCTCATGCACTAAGCCCAGGTTCAATCCTCCTGACCGGGATCTGTCAGCATTACAAATACAGGGCTGCGGAACAATTTGTATAGTGGGGGTACTGAAAGCCATTGAATCAAAGGG